CCTTTCATTTAAGTTAAAAGCCACAAAAATAAATCAAAACTGCTCATTCAAAGCTGCCAGCTTGTGAATGTTCTTAACAGGAAAATTTCCAGTGTCAACTCGAATTGAACTGGGAATTAATCTATTTATTGGTTCTATTAGAGTTCCTTGGTACATGCCCACTCAGAACCGAAGTAAAAAGACGGGCGGGTAGCGCTTTTTCCTTCCCGAGCGAGAAGACCGAGAAACTGACCTATTTTTTGCCGAGACCGGTCCCGAGAACGAGAAATACTGCCCGTCTCGTGTCTCGGGCAATGCTTCTCGTCTCGTGACCAATTTCTCTTCTCGCCCGCAGTTCGAGCCACTCGTTAAGCGAGAAGACCGTCGTGGCGGGGATCTAAACTTAGATTAGAAACTAGGCTAGCCCTGTTGCGCTGGCGCAGGCGGTGAAGGAAGGTAGGGAGACGACCTAGGCCTAGGCCCTGGTCAACTCCCCACTCGCCTCGTCTCGCCAACCTCTCCCCTCCCTTTCAGTTTCACACACAGGACGGCACGGTGATGGGTGGCACTGTCTGCGTTGTCATTTCTCGCCTCTCACTCTCTCACTCTCGTTACCGTTACTCGTTATGTCAAGCCAACGGGCAGTATCACGTCTCGGTACCGAGCGGAAGTTTAGTGCCCGGGCAGTGACGGGAAGGCCGTTACTCGCGAGAAACGAGACTCGGCTCGTCTCTTGCCCGCCCCTAGCACAGACAATGTAAATTTGCAGTTGCTAAGGACATTCAAGTTTTGGAATTCACTAAACTCTGACAGCTATTTTCTCCCTAATTTAACCTCTGACACAAGGCAACCTCTGCCCCTTTCAATCGCAAACATCCCAAGTTTTATGCAAGATAGATTGGGTATTTTTTAAAATCAAAAGCAAGAAAAATTAACAAACTTTAAGATACAGTCGAACCTGTATAAGACGGAATCGCAAGGGAGCCAGAAATTTTTTTTCTCTTATACAGGAGAATTTAGGGGGGTGGGGTGGATGGAGGTTTCAAAGGCCCAGCCGCGGAATCAAGGGTTGCTTGTCGTCTGGTGGAAGCAGTCACAAGTGGTCAAAACTTCACACCTCTCAGCTGCTACCCTTTCTGATAATGGTATGCGTCAGTCTTATTCCAATTACCACTAGTGCTTACATTTCATTGGACCACTGTTTGACCGATTAAAAACAAAAATGTTTTAACATCTCCTTTGTTTCCTCCCTTAACCCCACCCATCGGTATAAAAAGCACAGTTAACCAATACCACCCCTCACTGTCATGTAACAATGATTCGAGGAACTCTTTTCTCGGCTAGCTATATGATTAGGGTGGCAGGCATTGGTCAAACTAATTTTACACCTCTGGCCTCTGGCTACCAATGAAAGTTTCCGTGCTGGAGCGTCACTCGAGCCCTTTCACTTGCACTCATGAGATTTCACATCCACACCATCCTGATTATCTTCATGGCTCAGGGCTCACAGAGATGGGGTAACATCTACCCTCAAATTGCACCCCTACTCCCCTTCCTTGCCCGGCAGCATGGTTTTAAGTTTAGAGCCGGCAGTCCCCCCAAACTTGCGAGTTTTGTTTCAAATGAGGGCTGAGCGGACAAAGCATTTTCCATCTTAGACAGGTAAAACCCTCTGAAGGGAGCGAATTTTTCTATCCGTTTCCATGTTGGACAGGTTTCCGTTTTTACATAGATAATTAAAGAGAAATATATATCAAAAGGGGAGCGGGCAGATTCCATTGTGACAGGTTTCCGTTTTACACAGGTTTCCGTTAAGGCAGGTTCGACTGTACTCCATTTGCCAATAGATTGACAAGTGTCTGAATCAGTTTTGTCATGGCACGTGTTTCATATTGTTAAGGGCAGTGATGACTGTAGGACTACCACATTAGACAGATCTCCCTATATTCTCTTCTGTCTATATTTCAGCAAACCTGAGAAGGCAGAATGTGTCTGAAGAGCAGATTGTTTTGTTGTTGAAGAACTCTGTCCGCCAGAAGACGAGTGCACCGTCGACACCGTCAGTAGCTAGTTCGGTGCAGCCGTCATCCACCTCTTGTGTGGAGGGGAAATTGGAGAACTTTCTGGATGTGGTGAACCTGGTGTCTCCAAGCTCCACTGATGAGAAGTTGTCAGACCGGGCAGTGGAGAATGTCACGCCAGTCTACGAAGATATCAGTGAGGCGGAAGATTCTGGGGCTGTGGCTTTAGTGGAAGTGAAAGCAGAGTTGGAAAGGGGTCAGAGCTATGAGGATATCAGTGACCCAGAGGAGGTTCAGCCAAAATATGAGGACATTAGCGACCCAGAGGAGGACAAAGGACAAGGACACAGTTGAAAGGAAGAGGAACTTTTTTTGTTTGTCCAAGTGCACTGTTGAGAAAATGAAGGGTTTTTTGTTTGTCTTTTGAACAGAGTTAAGATTTCCACTGCCATGGAAAGTTTAGGCGATAGCATAAAGCAGAATTCTTCTCTAATCTTACCATAAACTCTGTTTGATGAGGGTGCTATGGTTTTGCAATACTCAAATTTGAATGTAGAAATGGTCTCATACGAAGATGACTTGAATGGGGCCTGTTTTTGTTTGTCTGTAGTGTCATCTTGTTGAGTCGGGCTTTACTGAATGTGTGGAAGAGAATAGTCTTTGAATGGGTTGTTCCTTTGTTCACCAATTTGTTTTCAGTTAACATAAGAAAAACAATGTTGGTGCATTCTATTATTGGATAGGTTATAAATGATTCTTTGCGAAACCCCTAATTGCAACATGATGGAGGGCTGGCCATAGCAGCTTAACATTTTCATTGCCAGGGGGTATGGGTTCCTACTGTCAGCAGTTATTTTCAGCTGAGCTTGTTACCCAGGACAGCAGTCTCATGTCTTAGTGTTGATGGAGACACAGTCTAGATCTAGCCCACTCGTGACTAGGGGTCTTCGATCGTGTCACTTTTCTCACTTCTCTCATTCCATATTCCCCCCATCATACTCATAATTTCGAATAATTTACAAATCTAAGTCAAAATATTTATTTGGGTTTTTTGGGGCCTTTTTAGTCTTTTTGGTGGGGTTTTTTTGCTTTGCGAAAGCATGCAGCTGCCCACAAGCCTAGATCTGTGTTCATCGATCACTTCAAAGCCTAGCAGTAAAGTAATGCAAGCAAATTTAGTATGGATATGGGCGTCTTTTATTCCCGAATACAAATCCACACAGTGCTTGTGGCTAAAACATTTTGATAGAAGAATAGGAGACGGGTGATTCTCATGCTGTACATGTAATGTCATACTGGCAACCAGGAGTGGCACATTTTGCCAACTTCCTGACGTACGTGGAACGGCATAAAGCTAAAGATTACGCATTTTCATCATGTATGGCATTTTCATGACGTACCAGGTATGACATTTTCATCATGTACCAGGTATGGTTCATAATGTACCAGGTATGTCGTAAGGCAACGAAGGGGTTCAGTGAAGAGATCCAGTAAGAAATTAATGCGATCGTAATTCATCAGTGAACGCCTTTTTGAAAATTGTAATATGTAGAATCTTAAGTTGCTGCTAAACATTTCTGTTATCCAAATTTTACTCAAATGGTGGTTGGTTGAAGGGCGCCACTGGTAGATCCTACTTCTTTACTTTCCCTCTGTTGCTTCTGTCCGTCTTACTTTTTCCCAGCCCTATATGACCATTTTTGTGTCGATGTGTGTCTCTTTACTAAAACAGAGCAAACAAGTAAACAAACCAGCAGATATTTTAGTTTCGCTATCAGTCTACAAGAAAGAAAGTTACAATACTTGGAATCCACACTTTTTTCCTGGATTTTTTGAACTTCCAGTCTAGACTGATTCTAGATTCTATTGATCTCTTCTTTGACTCTTATTGACTCGAGGTGTAAGTCCTAACACTTTTCTGTTGACCCATGGCACTTTGGCTTCATTTGTAGAATACAAGGGTATGTTAGATCTAGTTAAAAAAAAGGTAATTTCAGAACTGTTCGCTGCAGAGACTTGAGATTTTCAACTTGAAAACCATACTTCGACATAATTATGACTATGGCAGACATTTTGAATATTTGGTTATTAGATAAGACAAAAACAAGGAGTATTCACGACTGGGGATCATAAAAGGGCAATTTTACCACCAAGAATTTTGTAACTTCACACATTTTCTTTCCTCATGCCTGCTTTTTCTCAACACACGAGCCGTACCGTACTATCTAGCTTCGTTTTTTGTTGATAGTTTGACACAAAGTGAAGCTACTCAAAATGTCAAAATTCTACTTTCCAACAAAACTTTATGACATCTTAGCATGCACATGGACAGTTTCTGTGCTCTATATTAGTGAATGCTAGTGGGAGGGATGTGGAGCATGTATCTTCAGTCAAGTCTATCGGTGACCTAATTTTCCTCAAGGGATCATATGTTTCATGTTCTCTGTTTTGTCTGTTATCATTGTAGCAAAAGTGAAAATAGGCCTGTATCGCTTGAAACCTATTTTGACTCATGACACTGCCAGAATTCTGCAAACAATATGTGGTCCAGTGGTCTCTGAACTCCACACATTTTCTCCAGTCCCATTGCAATTTATAGTCGGATGTAGGCTTTGATATCATCTTTGTCCACAACATCTCTCCACAACTTCTTTTTGGGGTCATTGTCATCTAGAGGAGCCAAAAGTTCCTGAACATAGGCATTTGTTTCCCCACACGATAAGGTCAACAGCATCAACTGGAAAAAGCAGTTGAAAGAAGTCTACTTTTTAGCAGTCACTGGCATTGCCTAATACACCAGGTCTAAAAGCATGTTCTCTTACACACTCCCCTTGCCATTCTCATATAGGCTTAAGTCACTGTACTCATGCCATGGAAAATGTTCAGTGGTAGAGTAGATCCATCAGCATCACCACCAATACCAACGCCACGCCCACTCTCTATCTCAACCTTCTGACTTTGTTGTGACTCATTTGTCCTCTTTGTCTTGCTTGATCTAGCTTTCCCTGTGTTACTCGTTGTGCCGGTGCTTGGCCCTGCCTGAGTTTCCCTATCAGAATTGCCTTCTAAGCCAAACCTGCTCACCCAAGAGTCATCTGACTCATTGTCAAACTCCTCACCAGAATCTGCAAAGTTATTAGACATCCTTAGATCTAGTCTTTTATTATAATAATATTATGAGCTAAGTGAAAAATGCGTTTTACATCAGTGGGTCTCCTAAGTGAAAGTACTCTTACATCTTCTCTACTTCCATATTTCTGAAATCTTTTGCATTTCTGGTCGCAAAAAATGAATCAACTGAAGCATTTTACAAAAATTATATTGCGTAGTCTTCTTTTAAAAAAAAAAAAAAGCGGACCTCTGTGATTCCGATTGTGTTTGGATCCAGAGCTGAGCCGATATCCCGAGCATGTTCTGGACCAGGGTTCTGTGGTATAAACCTTTAGTCTATGTCTATGTTTTGCAGGTTATTTGATATTTTTACCATGTATGGTTGCTTTCGTAGACAATTATTTTTTCTTTACTGGTAATTTTGTACAAAAGTTGTGAGCTTTTATAAGTAGAGAGGTAATTTTCGGAACAAGGCCTTTGGCGGGACTGAGTTGAACAGTTGAACTCTACACAACTGCAGAGACCAGAGACAGTGAGCTGCAAAGGGCAAAGATAAAATAGTCATGTCTTACTCTACTCTTTTATTTAACTTGTGTGTAGATAAGAAGGCGTGAGATTATTGCTGATTGTCTACAGTAGATTCTGTGACTCATAGTCATAGCGCAACTGGTTGATTAGGTATGTTGGAGATATATTTATTGGTCATTGATTTATTTTAGTTTGATGCTTTTATATTGCATAATTTAACGTGAAGGTAACTTTTCCTGATGTATTGCTGCAATAGCGTGAAGATCTCATCACAAGTATACAGGTCTGTCGTTCTTCTTGTTCATGTCAGGTACTTTTTATAATCCTGCTCATCCTCCTATGATACATGAGACAGGGGATTCTTTTGTATTTTGTATACGGCGTGCCACATGGGCTGAGACGTCGGTTGGTCACGATGACTACGCTGGCTGCAAGTCCTGACAACACCATGGAGCTCGCTGCCTATGAAAACACAGTGTGAGTAAACACTGGGAATTCACTCGAAATTGCGTTATAAAAAATATTCCCTCGGATGCTACCATTGCAAATAATGCTGTACATGGGTGATTGTCAGGTGCTCCAGTGTGGTCGGTGGATGTTCTGCTGTGGTTTGCTCCTTCTTTCTTCAAACTTATTGTCCTTATCTCTCCTCCTTTTTGTTTGTTACTCACTTGTAACTCCTCTAATCTTCGGCACTTATATGACCTTATTGTGTTGCAAGTGCTGTAAAACTGTTGCTAAAACAAACACACAAAAAACAGTGCTGTACTGTTATATCTAGACCTTAGACATTCACTATAGTAATGAGTCATCATTTTATTTTCCTTGCTGATCTCATGAACAGATGTGTTGTCGAACCTGACCACCTCCAAGCCACTGACTTACAATACCTTGGACTTTGATGTCGGTTTGTTCATCAGTACATGAAGTATAAAGTAACTCGCCTGTTTCACTACCATTTCATATTATTACAGTTTACATTATCACTCAACCAAGCTAATGGACAATGCAATGTCACTTTAGATTTCGTAAATGTATTCAAGCCTATTGTGCCTCTTCGATTTTTTTTTTCAGATCTCAGTCCATTACTAACCTCTACTATTAAGTTGGGGGGGGGGGGGGGGGGGTGTTATTTTTTAAAAAGAGAATTATTTGTTTAATTTATTGGAGATACTCAAAGAGGATTTAGGCTCTGAACTGAATGTTTGCAGTTATTGTTATTGTATTTTGCTTTGTGAATTATTTGTAAGTTGATACTGGCAACAAGTTGTATATCTCCAAAGAGATTAACATAAACAGCTCATTGTTGAGGGCCCTGCACATGCGTCTGCTGTTTGGAAGCTGAGGTCATGAAATATGAAAAACAGAATCCTAAAACCCCATAGGTGTCTGGCAAACGTGTTCGAGCATATTGTTTGGTTCATTCAGGAACGTCTCAAATCTGGTGCAGTGTCAGGCTTATCATCATAAGGCCACAATATTGAGTACGGTATAGGCCTACTTGCTGCACATTTCATGACTAAAGTGAAACGCTTTATCAAATTTGGAAGGGGAATCTGGAGGCAGTTTTGTGTTGACTCTTTGGTTCCTCACTTGACAGTTAAGATGACAGCATGTGAGGTGTTACTTTAAACGGCACAGAATTCCAGAGAAATACTTTTCGTCTGTTAAGTGAACTGATTGTGAAATGTTTGTCCTGAATACTAGATAAAAATATAAGCAAAGTTCATGCAACACCATCACTCCTACCCAAACCCACGATTGTCTTTCAATATTATGTTCCTTCTTCAATCTCGAGTCTTATTTTGGATAATGCATTATGTATTCACTTCTTTTGTAAGCCTGATTCATGAATTGATATCTGGAATGAGTTATCCATGTAAGTTTATAAGACTTTGATTGTTTTTTTTCTACTAAATTTTGTAAGATGTTTGTTTTAAGACCATTGTGCCGGTGATTTGAAACTGGTTAAAAGTGGTTCTATAGAGTACCATGTCATCTTGTCCCTATTCACTCCATGCTCAAGAAGTCTTGAAAAAATAGAGTCAAATGGGATATCAGCATAAAATGTCCCTGTTGCAAGAAAAATGAAGGCCTTTCGAGTTTTTTTTACAGACCTTGTAGTGTAAGGTTGAACAGAGATTGGTGGGCTCATTTTTCTTTCGACAGAGATAACCTGTACATCACTGTCCGTATTGTCAGCACTGGACATCCGTCCGGATTTTCTCAGAAAGCTTTCCTATACTTCCACCAAGGGAGTTCTGATTGAAAAATGTAGTATAGTGCTGATGGTACCCTTTTTAAAAAATATTTCGACTGACACCAGTTTTATCACAATGCTTTGGTAATCCACTCTTCATGGCTTGTACTGTGTATATTAATCACCTTGTAGGCCATACTGTAGTCCTTAATTTTGAGGCCTGTGCTCAATTCGTCTTTCAGTTTGATGAGCATGTAAAAATGTATAAAGAACTATGCCTTCCAGTCCCTACGTTTGTTTTGCTTTATATTTTCCATTCCTAATAAACCTAGTGATTTTGCTCATGACCAGACAACTTCAAAATGGGAATTTGGCGTGAATTGCAAAATGCATGCTGCAGGATCAGTGTCCACCGAGCTATCCAATTTTCGTGGACAATATTTTCTCATTTCTGTAACACTGAAAATGCATATTATTCAATGGCTATGATAGTTATCGTTGATATTCCACTTAATGTAAAAGTTTCTGTGATTGTTGTATTACAATAAACTCTATTCATGCTAATAGTAGCTTGTTGTAATGTTTTATCAAAGCCCCATTTAAAGTCTTATTGTATCTTGCGCAGTGAGTCGCTATTTCAACTCAGTTGATGAATTCATGATGAGCATCGATGACCAAATCGGGATTCTTTTATAACAACAGGAATAACCTTACAAGACAATTCTGAATCTTTTTTTTTTTTTTTTAAATTCCTTTCAATGAAATATGTATGCTGAAATACTAGTTTTACCCATTGCACTTGAAGAATAGATAATGGTCACGACAAATACAATGTCTTTTCATTGCTGGACTGATGCAAGTGACTTCAGAGTGTTCAAAACAAATTTCCTCTCTTTTTTCAAATACACTGTACTTGCCTAGCATCTGCGTTTGTTGCCATTTTTTTGTCCAAAAGTTGCCATTAATTTTCAAGCTTTCAACTCTCTGTGATGACGTATATGTTGATAGAGATTTCATCTAAAGCGCCAGAATTTCTTGTGTTCCGTTTTATGCAACCAGAATATCATTTGTAACCACACAGGATGTAAAACGTGAAAAAAAAAAGGTTTCACAACAGAATGAAATCAAAATTAGAACAGCACATAAACAACTACAAAAATTAACAAATAAAGTGTTAACCTATCCGAAGATTGGCCGTTTTAACCCTAAACATGTGTAATTATTTTTTTAAAAGTATGGAATCATACACAATGAGCCTGTCAGTGTCAGTATTCCGTTTTGGTAGAGACACACTTTAGCATAACACATTTTTGTATTTTAAAAAAGGTGAGAACAACATCAAATTATATATTATTAATACAAACGCTATATAAACATAAAAACGGGGGCTCTCGAGACCTCTCATTCAAAGGTCCCGGGTTCGAATCCGGCTAACGACCGAAAAATATTTCCTTTCCTGCTCTCTAGCATTGTTCTGTCGTCTGCTTTCATCTCCTCTTCCTGTCCCCACCCTCTCACCTCATTTGCCTCCTCTGGGCTCCTGACTCTTTTTGCAGTCTTTCTACTGCTACGCCTTGGCTCCTTCTTACTGCTGTCTTTCAGCCACACCCCTGATCTTCTGGTAGGAAAAATCTACACGTAGCCTTTTCGGACAAGGGCGAAAAATCTCGGAGGTCCCGTGTGCAAGTTGCGCATGTTAAAGATCCCTTGGTCTAAAATCGATAAGAGTAGGCTTCGGCCGCCACCCGGGCTGAAATAGTGTAAGGGGAGGAGCGACCCTTGATTTTGCCAATTTTGGGTCAGGCTATGCACATTTTATGTTGGCTTATTTTTGAAGATCAACCAGTTTTTTGTCTAAAATTAGCATGGATACAATTAAGAATGACTTTATTCTCCAGGTCTGTTGCCTTTAAAAACATGAGGATGGATTAATATAGTGAATTTTCACAATTGTTGTACGTTTTCGCAAAATGTAATTTTTGTGCAGTTTTTTCCCTACTCCGTCCTTAGTTGTCATCCTTTTGACATGAAACTTTCAGGAAACATAGTTGGCAAGGCTGCCATCAATGTAACAGAGATATTTGCGAAAAAAATAAAAATTTTCCATTGGCAAGCGATTACGAAACCTAAATTTAGAAAAAAGTGATTTTATACTTTGGAAAAATTCTCAATTTTTTTTCTTTAGTACTTATTGAAAAAAAATGTGCTGTTACTCTGATAGGATCTGGTTGAGGTATACTCTTACCTAATTTGGTCAAATTTGGTCCGTAAATAAGAAAGCCTTAGGGATTTGAAATGCATTGTTTATTTTCAAGATGGCGGCCGTTTCCATAGCAACCGCTGTAGCTATGGCAAAATAAAATTGCCTATCAAGAGATTTAACTATGTCTAACTTATATGTGTACTTATGTATGTATAGTATAAGGTTTTACGGCGCTCGCAACTGCTAAGGTCATATGAGCGCGCTATGTGTACTTAGATTTGATCTTAGGCAACAA